AGCTGAAGGTCACTGTCTCAATAAACAGCCAAAAAAAGAGGCATACTGATATTTCACAGCATATGTAGTCAGTCCAACAAGCATAGCTGGCCCTTTGTGGGCATTGAATTGTAGGAACATGCAACACTGTCTGTAAGCTGTGCCAAGACATGAGCTAGTATGAAGGCAGACCTATGGTGAAAACCTATAGGGTGCACACCTGCGCTATATAAATATGAAATGAGATGTTTACTGGAGAGCACATACAGTAGGAAGGCCTTATATGTAATGGGATTGTATTACATGAAACATCTGTGACAGAACAATTCTAACTAGATGAACCCAGTGACACACCAAATGTCTTCCATACATTCATACTTTTTACCCTTCTTGTCCGTAACACCCAGGCACAGTTTATACACGGACACTGTCTAGATTTTTTAATCAATATTTATGTTGGTATAGACAGAATAGGCTTAGAGTAAGTAGACGATCAGTGTAGATGAACAGCTGTTCCTGTCACCCTCACCTCATCTTTGCTGAAACCAAAAGCATTTCACTGATCCCTCTCTTGCCTGGCGCCTTAGAGCTCCATCCAATTAGTATTCAGTAGTGTGTTTCCAATCTTTCTATATTACTTCCCAAGGCACCCAACAAAGATTTCTAAAAACAACATTCCTTTACATGCAAGGTCCTTTGCAAATAAAAAGTGACTAAGCAAATCTAACAGTAGTCATTCTCATCTAATGTCTCAACGAATGTCAGTGAAATATGTTGTTAAGCTTCAATACATTAGATGAAGTTTGGGGTTTCACTCTGGGTCTTAATCCGAGCATTGACCCGTTCTAAAAAGGGGTCACAAGGGAGATTAGGCAGCTCCTTTGCCTCTTTGAAAGAAAAAAAAAACTAACTGGATTGTCTTCCTTCCTGAGCCCAAAGGAGGACCAGTTGGGAAAACACGTTAAAACTCATATCCTAAATCCACATGTTCTCAAGTCGTCTCACAAAGAAAGGCCCTCAAACCTATTTGAAGTTTTATCTCACCTCAAAAGTCATGTCAGTACAATTTGACAGTTCTATAAATGGACGCTTTAACCCCAATACTTATATAGCATTAGAGCACAATTAGAGACTTAAATTGACACATACAAATCTTTCATGTTTAGATAAAAAAATCAGCAAGGGCAAAGGTGAGTTGAAGCTCCTTGGGGCTCATTGTTCTTCATCTATCTTTTTTGGCAATGATGTTTTAACTCAGTAATGGGGTATGGATTTGCTGTGTTCACAGAAAAAGGAAAGCTTTATTAAACAGCCTTAAGATAGGGGCCTGTAGGGATACTACACTCCTATTTTATCCTCTATTAAAATGCTCTGCTTCAAAACTCCCATAACATCCCATGGCTAATTAAATCATACTGCCCAAATCAAAAATAGTCAGCTAGTTAAAAAATGCAAGCCCAGTCTAAAAACACAACAAGCAGCAGGGGAATGGGAAAATAAACACTATAACATATTGATGGGGTTATCACACCGGAGGAGTAAATGAAGTTGACTGAAGCCCTTTTTTTGGTGTGAAATCTATGTGAGTTTTACCTTACACACTTCCTGGACTTTCAATCCAAAGTATTGTAAGCCCATTCAACAATGTGAACTGTGTCCAAAACAGGACACCATTGTACCTCAGTGGGGTCATTTTTCCCTCAGGGAGCTATAGAATTGCACATTTCCTATGCTCAGTGAGTGCAAGTGATGTGGTTGAAAGTAAATATAACTGAACTCCGTTTCCTTCCTTAACCATAGGAGGGAATTTATTAAGTATCTTGACTCTTGTTAGGCCTCTTTCTTATATCTTTAAAAGGGAAGCTTAACTTAGTTATCTAACTTATTATACAATATGTTATACACATGTCGTAGTCACACACCTTATTTTTCAGAACTTTGCTTACTGAAACTGATATGCATCCATTACACATTTTTACCTCAACACACAGACCTGCTTCATCTCTGGCATATTATCTTTAAAAATTGAAATTGGATGATTTGGGGGGATGACTTTCAAATTGGGTCAGTCCCTTGGAGATCTGCCAGAAGTATGACAGCTAGAGACAGACACTATTTCAATCAGCTCAGATGGCGGCAAACCTCATTCATTGGCTCTGACTGTGTAAAACTGTCTTCATCGGCACTAACATTTTCAAATTTGAGTGTTTTGATTTGTAAACAACAAATATTAGCATTCCTTTAATTCGATAGTTCATGCCTGCAAGCTTGCCTACAGCGAAGTGTAAATAAATGTGAGTTTTGCCACCGCGGCGTTGTCCTAACCTACAATCCCTCCTTTGTACTCCACCTCAGCTAAATTCCACCATTAACACACAACCAAATCTACAAACAGATCTCACAGGAGCACAATGTTGACTTCAGTCCTGTTGAGTTTGTTGCCCTGTGCTTCCTGGAAGGCTAAGATACATTAAGTGAGATGGAGAGCAGGGGTTTATACCAAATAGTTTACTGGTTCTCATAAGTTCTGACGTTTAAGGGAGAATTATATGAGCATGAGATAAAATTCATCAAAACACAAAGGACCACAATTTGCACCCTGGAGCAGAGAAATAGACTTGCCTAATCTCTTAAAGTGGTGTAAGGAATAATAGCATTGAGATGGAGTCATCTTCACTGTCTTTAGTGTTTCAGGTTTGCCAGGTACCATCATGTTAACGGTATTGTGAATGTTAATGTAATTTATGAAACCAACTTGTGTTTTTAAGAATTGATTAATAACAAATTAGCCCAGTCTGATTGCTGGAGATAAAAGTCAGATTAGCTAAACACAAATGACAATTCCTGTAATAACGCTGTAGACCGATGGGACATATACAGAAACCTGGCATCATTTAAGTCTGCAATAAACCAAATAAACCACCAGGGATAAAATGCAAGGAGAAAATGACAGTAATTCATCACCAGCCCATAGTAACAGACATTTTTCCCACTGAGTTGTAATGAAAAGGTTGTGCTCATCACTTCTTTTCAGCAGTTTTTCTAAGTAATCATCCACATGAACACTAAGCAGCGATATGGGACTTTATAGTCACGCTATTTCAAGAATTAAACAAACACCAATCAATTTGTCACATAGCAGTTGGGAAACAGAATTATTTCAATATGTTACAATTTGCTGTCAAATATTTACAATATGTAGGCAAAGGATATGACACAAGATTAAATTAAAAAGTGTTATACTGTTTCAACATGATATCCGATATATTGGCAATTGTTTCACAAAACAATTACATCATGACTTAAAATAATCACCCAGCACATTTACCTACTTTGGCAAAATCACAATAATTTAACTTCCTTTCACACCCCAACAGAACCTAGGCTAGAAGGATATCAACTTTGCTCTGGATAAGCTGAATGGTACAAGAAAACAAACTGTGTGTTCCTGTCCACAGTTTAAGTCAAACAAATGAGCCCTCAAAAATACAGAAACAAGCTTTGAGCAGGAGCAAAACAGGATGCTTCCACCAAGCCAACTGGGAAACGAGTATTTGACTGATTTAATAGCCTTTAATGTTGGGGCTACCATTAATCACACAACTTCAATGTAGTATTGTTCTTGCTTCCTACAGACAAAAAGCGAGCAAACAAGAGAAACACAATGACCGCTTGTCTACTGCACACAATACAAGTGTCAGCAAAGCCAAATTTGTTAGTTGAACCATTTGATGTGTTGTTTTGAAAGCAAACATCTGTCTCTTTTATTACATGGTCATACTTATAAAAGGCATTGCTTTCTTGATAAAAATGAAAAAAGTTGTTGTATTGTTAATTTGGTGCTGCAAACTGGTGTCTGCAGAGCACTGCTTGTGGTTGAGTGAAACCCTTCTCAATAATGTCTACCAGAAAGAATGCAGTTATGAGGACATCAAATGTATCCATACAGCCCTCTGTCTGGAACAAGAGGGGCAGACTAGGAGGACCATGAGAGGGTGAGTAGTAGTGAAACTATAATGCCTTAAACAAGGGTGTTATGGTGATTCCCAATGATCGAACGCAAAGGGAGAATTTATGTCTCACGTTTTTTTTAAAGTAAGCTTTCTGTCTGTCATTGTAAGCCTGCTATATCGGATTGGTGTCAGCACGATTCACTGTGTATGCTTGTGTCCTGGACTGCTACAGAGCAGAATCCACACAAGCATCTTTGGTGCAAAACCTAATCGATGTTAATGCAAATGTAATGCACAGGCTTATTGGGTTAGTTCAACACTACAGATGTGTCAGCCTGGTACTGTTTGGTGGCTTTTGCTGATTTTCAAACCTGAATCCTGCAATGTAGTGTTGTTAAGGACATGTGAAATGTGACACAAAAAAAACTTCACATTGCGGACTGTGACTTTGTAAATCCTGTCCTCTCTGCTTCAATAATGCAATCATGCCATACATCTCTGTCACCACATGGTCACACCCCTCCCCTGCAACCTTTACAGTCTCTTTCTCACACACTCTCTCTCTTTCTCTCTTACACACATACACACACACACACACACACACACACACACACACACACACACACACACACACACACACACACACACACACACACCAAGGCTGCACACCTATCTAATAGAGAGAGTGTAGAGGTCCTGCATGGAGGATGTGAGGAGAATTTTAATAACCCTCTTCCTGTCCTGCTAGGCTCTGCCACTTTCCATTAACAATGCAGGCAGAGATAATTGCTCTCACCTATCCGATGGGACCCCTGTGTGTTAATCCATATGCTGATGTATTTCTGTCTCATTAGTCATGTGCACACTGTGTTTTTAGATAAAATATTGTGTTAACAACAGAGCCTTTAATTCTAGTTCAACTGAATCCTGTTACCAAACGTGTCTGAGCTGCACAGAAACAGAAAGGAAAATGAAGGAGTAGAAACACATTTGAAAAGGACACTACCAAGCAAAGATAATCACATTTTACACCGCCAAACATCGAAACAATGCACACGAGCCACTCACTTGATGAAGTAGCTAGCTCCTTCGTCCGTGAAGCCCTCTTCCCATCCTCTTGGCAAATCTATAACACGAAGAAAAACACAGTGAACGTCCCGCCACAGACAGAAAGCACATTGCAGCAAGAAAAATGTCCCCTCGGTATCCAACAAATCCGATAGTTTGTCGCGTACCTGACCGTATCATGTGCCCAGAGTTAACAGGTTCACCAGTGCGTGGATGTAGCCAAGTAGTACTGTGACTTTTATCACTGCAAGAAAGACACCTGTTACTGAGCGATAATAAAACAACTAAAATCCTTAATAATGCCCCATAAAGTACCAGGCGCTGAACAGCTGAAACCCCTCACTTAATAAAGAAGACCCGGCCGTCTCTACAAACTCCATAGGACCAGTGGTCAGGTAGGGTGTCCCGTCCAGGCGGTGCCGCCATGATCTCTCCTCTCCGGCTCGCCTAGTCCCCCCTCTCCCTCTCCGCACACTTTTCCTGGGAGCCCGGATACAACCACCACTAGGGCTGCATAGTTTTTTTTAAAGGGGAAGAATGCCAAACTCGACCATTTCTGCTTTATAAGTGACTTGAGCATAGGGCTCAATAGTTCCCACAAGTAGCAGTGAGGTAGATTCTGAAATAAAGGTCAGATCTCTACAAGAGATTTATAAAAAAATAAAAAATGGAATAAATGGAACCCACTGCATTGAAAAGTAGTGTAGCCTATTCCCCAGGGTGTAGTAGAAGTGCACTGGATTCGAGCTTGCATTACAACTGTGACATTTCAGCGCAATTTGGAGCACACATAAAGCATACTTTAAAGCAATCCTAAAAACTATGTCAAGAAAATGAAAGTCCTTTATGGGATACTTAAGAATTACAGGAATTCCCCTATTAAACCAAAATAGACCATTATGCCTACTTTTATCTTTATAATCTAAGTGTTACGATATGAGATGTAATTGTGTGAGGGAGATATATGACAAAATATGGATAAAACAATAAACCCATTATTCTAACTGAAATATTTGATCACGTACTTGTTATAGGAGACAGGTTTGAGCCATTTCTGAGGAGACAATTATATATATAATTTGAGAAATAAACATTGCAATTTACCCTCCTCTAATGTTATGTACCCTATATTTGCCCTTATGTTCATGGCAACTAGCAATGCATTAAGACAAGGTTGGGAAAAGGCACAAGCACACTTAAGACGTATGGAAAGAAACTCTAAGACAAATCTGTGTGAGTGAGGAAGGAGGAGGAGAGGGAGGGACTGGCACACATTTTTTAGTTATGCGTATTACCTTGAGAGAAAGATAATTTCAGTACAAGGCCTTTCTAAAATGGTGTGTGTGTGTGTGTGTGTGTGTGTGTGTGTGTGTGTGTGTGTGTGTGTGTGTGTGTGTGTGTGTGCGCGCACGTGCGTGCGTGCGTGCGTGCGTGTGGGTGTGTGTGTGTGTGTGGGGTGTGTGTGGGTGTCAGAGGGGAGCATGCCTGCATGGGTAAATTAATGTATGTCCATGCATTGGAGCTTTAGATGTAGTTTGTGAGCCTCACACATCACCTTCACTGCAGTCACACTTTGAGGACGGAGAGCTTCCTGACCATGACACATTACAATAATGCTTACACTGCATCAAACAGACCTGCCCAATTTACCAATGTACCCATAAATTCAACTTGGGCTATGTGAGGGCAAGCAATGTTCAAAGTCACAGCAATGTTGTCACAGGCGTTATTTTTGCTGAGCATCGAGCCCCAACAGAGAAGCAGCAATGATTCACTTTGTCATAAGTTCTCTATTATATAACTGCATTGTCATTAATGTGATATAACATTATGTGCTGAAACTGTGGAAGAGCAATACCTACACAAAGTGCTGAAATAACCCATCCTCCCCCCTTGTGTTTTCTGCTTAGTGTAGATTACAGTGAAATGTGCAGTCCCATTGTGAGAAGAAATATTACTATATGGGGTGCACACACATCAGTGAGCAGAGAGCATTTGTCAACATTATAAATATTTGATCTAGGATTCCCTTTGGGGGGTGCTTTGTTGAAGCATTCTCCAGTGGTTTAAGGCACTGCTCTTCAAAGATAGGGAGAGATAACACATTTCCTCTAAAAGAAACCATCATGATGCAGCTGCGGAACAGAAACCAATTCACTGTAAACCTTCTTGTTATCTGCGCATCAGAGGAGTCAAAGAACAAACTGATTTTTACTGCTTTAACGTGTTTCTAACCGTACATATGGGGTCTCTGTTTAAATTGGAAACATAATAAAAAATTAACTTTCAAGTAAATAAGATCTGCAGATGGGTAACAGATTGAATGGTAAAACTGAAGTGTAGAAACATAACAAAACCACATGTTTTAATACGAGACAAAGGGGGGAAATAAATCGCCTTCAAAATCACCACATCTAATCCCAATTGAAAACCATAGGGAGACATGTTTCACAGTGCCCTCAATCATCATCATTCAGTGCCAAGCAGCAATAAATCTGTTTCGGCAGATCATAGTGGCCTAACACTATACCAAGAGACCCGTTGTGTACATGTTGGTTTCACACGTGTACTATACTGTACTAAATATGTTTTGAATTGAAGGAAGACACATCCAATGTGCAAACCATAAAATGATTCACCATTCCACAATTGCAACAGATCTAGAGAGAGAAGATGTTGCATTTTGGGGATTCAGTGTTCTGCATTGTAACGTAAATGGGAGACCTGCAGAGATCTCCAACGAGCAGCAATAGTGTCCAGTATAATCAACAATGCCACCATATTATTGATAATGCTGTACTTACATTTGATATAATGTGGTGCACTTAACCAATTGTGTATTTCTCAACCGGTCAGCAAAATTAGGTATAGGGTTTCTGGAACATTAAACATACTGCAGTGTAATCATTCGGTATCCCCCCTCAATTGCTGTTATTTGACCTTGCCATGATTTATCATCATCCTCTCTACAACCCCCCCTCTTTATACATACTAATTCATACACAAATGCACACATAGTTGATGCGCAGTCCAGTGCAGCTCTGCAGCACGGTCTCTGCTGCTGCTGATTCCTGCCTCTCGGCTGCCAGAGGCTCACAATGCAGCAAGGTGACTCAATGTTATTGTCTTCTCCTTAGAGAGACTCCTCCCGCTGAATCACAGCTTACCAAAGGTGATGAGCAGAGAATGTAATAAAGGATCTCTTTGGGTTTTTTCTGATTTTCAGGTCTTGAGCACTGATAAGCTTAGGTCCTAATCTATCTGGCAGATGCCGAAATCAATAGCATGTATGAGAAATGCGTTTTCTCAAATTATCTCTTAATCTCTGCACAGAAAGGTAGCCTATATAAATGAGTGCACAGGTGACTCAAAGTGGCTGCATTATTAACTAGACACTGTGTGGGGTCATATTTTTCAGTCTCCTGTTCATTATGCGCTGAATTTAATAATTTAAGTGCTGATCTTCCCCAAATTGCTTTAGCTTTCTTCCACTTCTTATGATTTTAGACAATGATAAATTGCCACCCAGCTCAAACTAATACACTGACATCTACAGGGCATGGATATTATTTTTGAGTAATAAGCCAACAGCTCCAGATAAAACATTTATTCATTGTCTTGTTTGACCAGCCAAGGCTCATAAATTGTGTTTTAGGGGTTTTATTCTAGCACCCAAAGTTCCAGCAGAAAGCAAATGTTTTTGAATCTCCTGTGCAATATATTAAGGGCCTTTATCTAAGATGGTCCTAGTAGCTGTTGAAAGAAGAAAGAGGATAATCTAAAATAAAGATTTGAACACAGTTTAAAGGTTTTCTAATTGATGTTTGCAATAAAACTCTATAAATGTAACAACTTCTGCAGGTGCAGGAGCATACAGGGACAAGTTGGTTTTAATTGTCCACTCATTGTTTCCTGTGGCTCTCTTTTTTTTTTACTATAGTTCAAATGTCATGGACTTCCAGTTCTACATTACTGTGAACAGACAGCACAATAGCACCCTCTGTTGGATAGATGGGAGATTAACTTTGTGTTTGCATACAAGTATGTTTTTTTTATTTGGAATCAAATTGAATATACATACAATATAAACTCTAGTCTGCAAATAAATGTAATGCTGGGCTGATCAAATCCGCTCATTTTATCAAGTGCTTTACAACTTCACCAGTGTAATCTTTTGATTATGCACATGGATGCTAAATTGAGTTTCAAAGATGGAAAAACTGATTACAGATTACAACCAAGACGCAATACTAATGGATAACTGGGTCTTGGTATTTGTATATAATGCAACAAATAGAAAAATGTCGACATTTTTAAGATGACTTACAATTTATTTGAGTGATTTTAAAAAGCTTCAAGAAGCAATGGTTTCATCCGCCTGTGCAGACTGCAGAGTGCATCAAGAGGAGTGTAACCATATGTGAGTACAGCCATCACACTCCATGTAAGATCTCCACAGCGAGCAAGGCTGTGTGAGAGGTGCATCTTGACCTATGATCTTGACCCATTAATCACAGACTGCTGCTTAATGAGTTGATTAAAGATTTGTTTTTAAACAAATAAAACATGTGCAATTTGGAGATAATTGTAGGATGCTGGGTGTTTATTATACAGTGGTGTGGATTTACTACTTTCTTCTAAGAAAGGTGCTATAGAAATAATTAAATGTATTATTATTTTAACATTAGGTAGTTATCTGACTCTTTCCATTGCAGTGAAATATTAGAACATTTGATGTGTACTTGATTTGATACAGATGTATTCTACATATTATTGTGTATTACACTCGGATAAAGACTTGATACATCACTAAGTGTGATGATTTTTTTTGTATAAAACTGTGCACCGAGAAAGAGCTGAAAGATCATTCAGCATCACTGCATCATGTGAAAATTACTGACCTTCAATATATCAGATAGTTGTTAAAAGACCCGCCCACCTGCTCCGTCGTCATGTCGCCACGTAAAATTCAATGCAACGCAACTTGCTAGACCGATTTGACTGACAGCTAAACTGACCACTGCGGTTAATGCTACCAAGCACACAACCGAACATGCTACCTAGCTGACTAGCAGCTAGCTGCCGACACAACAACAGCTGAGAGGAAGCAACGCCAGGAAATCAGAGCAGATGAGATCCAGGATTCATAATAAGGTGAGTATACAAGTGACGCATATAAGTATATGGGTTCATAATTCAGGCATTGGTGTGATCAACAGTAACGTTGGCTG